ACAACAACTGCGCACCAGAATGAACGCACACTGGAAATCCATCACAGACAGAAACACTCAATTACCGGTGGGGGCACATTTCTCACAGGAGGGCCACTCTCTCTCCAATCTCTCAGTCCTGATCCTCAAGGGAAATTTACACAACACATCCCAGAGACGAGCCTATGAGCTCCATTTCATCAACCTGCTGGATACTAGAGATCAGGGACTAAACATAGACATTGGATTTTTGATACATTATAATCTGCCTGGCAACTGACTCCCCAGCCCAGCCCAGCCCCTGGCTGCTTTACTTTTCATTCCATCCAGGAAGAGCACGCAGCAACTGCTGCAGCTTCCTTAGCCTGACGAAGGGTTTTTGAACCCGAAAGCTTGCTTAATAACTATTCTCCAACCATTTGGGTTGGTCTAATAAAAGATATCAAATTCACCCAAGGAACCTTGTCTACCTATTTCCACTGAAGCTTTTGCTGGTGAAAAGTGTGATTGTGAGCAAGGGTACTAGTTCCAGAAGGATTTACACCCAATGGAGATCACAGAGGATGGAGATGGGCTTTTCTCTGTGGTGCAGAGGGCAGGACTAGATGCAGCGGCTCAAGCTGCAGCAGGGAACATGGAGGTGGGAGATGAGGAGGAACTTTCTGACTCTGAGGGTGGTCGAGCGTTGAGCAGGCACCTAGAGATACTGTGGGGTCTCCATCCCTGGAAGTGGTCAACAGCAGGTTGGACGGACCCTTGGCGTGGACAGTTCAGACAGGGCTGATCCTGCCTGGAGCAGGGGCTGGACTAGCTGTGACCCTGTGAGGTCCCTTCCAGCTCTGCTTTTCTATGATCCTCTGCTCTTTGCTGACCCTGTTCCCTTTGGGCCCAGTGAATTGCTAAGGCAGTGTTTGGTAAGGGCTGGAAATGGTCAATTCAGCCGCTGCAAAGACCTGCCTTCCTCTTCGAGCTTGTGGTTCAGTATGTGAGAGGCTAATGAATGCAAGCAGATCCCTTCTAGATAAGCGAGCTGCAGAAGACACCATCACAGGAAAAACATAGCAGACCGCTAAGTGTGTCACGCACCAGTAATAGAGACCTACAGCAGTGCAATGCACACATTGAGACTGACCACAAAGGCGGGTCCAGGACAGGTGTGACCGTTAGCCTGGAGGGGTTCTAAAATGAGGGGTGGGAGAGACAGCACGGTGGTTACTTTGTATTTCAGCCTTAATATAACAATTCAAATGCACAAATAAATAGTCACCACCGCTGCTTCCTGGCTCTGACACCAGATCACAACACAGGTGAGAGGCTGTAGCTCAAGCTGACGTCTGTGCAACTATATGCTTTCTACCAGCCACCACCAGGCTGATGAAGTTTAATTGACTTGTATCAGCAAAGATCTACTCTACAGCTGAAGTACGATTGGGAAAAATAAATTATCTTTCAGGTGAGCAAAGAGAAATGTTCCAAAACACCCATCTCTCCCACACTGCTCCCTAAACCAGCAGTTGGTGAAAATCCCAGCTAGGCCAGGGAAACAGCAACCAAGAGACAGGGCATCTTGCTATCGTGCTCCTATCCCACTCGGGCATGGAGCAGGCCGTGGCCATCTTACTCAGCCTGCCGGCAGGAGCAAAAGTGCTGCAACACAGTCACCACCGTGCAACAAACCCATGCAGGGCGCATGATCAAATTCAGTTGGAAACCTCCAAGACCTGCAAGCATCAAGCTGGGAACATCCACTGCTACCAAGGACAAATGCTACCATTTAACAGGCCCACTGTTTGCAGCGTGGCACTGAGGAGGTGTTTGTGCGATACCTCTTCACTAGGTGTACACAGGGGGTGCATTTACATGTTCATTAATGCACAGTAGTTACTGCACATTTAATTTAGTACTTACTTAATGAAGTACTCACTGAATGCACAGTAACTGGATTTACTTCACAGTAGAGCCAGCGCATGGGTTTTTAGAGGGCTTTGGGTTGCAGCCGTGTTGGTCTAAGGACATAGGCAGGCAAGGTTCTTTGGGTAGATGTGATCTCTTTTATTAGACCAACCGAGGAGTTGGAAAAAAGTGTTCTTAGCAAGCTTTCAGGCACAGTCCCCCTTCTTCGGGTACACGGAGTCTCTGCTGTTTTCAGACTCCAAGGAATGAGAGACGTTTTTAGTGACATTTCCTGCACAGTAGCATATTAGCATGGGTTTTGCCTGGCCCACTACTGTGCAGTGTTATTAGGCTCCTGCGCATTAAGTGTCTCATGTAGACGCATCCAGAGGGTTGCTGTTGGAGGGAAGCCCACCTCTGCCTTAGTGCAGACTCTCTGTCACGCACTGATGACAAGCACAGAGGACTAGAAGAAGTCCTTTGTACACCTACGTTTCTTCTGCACTGGAAACACAAGAGGCGCGTGACAGGGAAAACTGAGTCAATGGCTGCAGAGTAATGGAGTGATGTCCAGGTCGGGATGTTTGTCTTCCAGGGATCCCAGCAGGGATGCAGCCTCCCCCCGACATGGCAGAATGGGGGCAACACGCACCACTGATTTCAGCAACAATTTTTCTTTTGAGGGCTGGGGCAGAGCTCATACAAATCCCCAAAAGGACACATCTTTTGGCAGAGACTGCACCAGGGGTTATTGCTGGGACTCCTAATTATAGTTCCACTTAAGATTTTCGTACGTCTCCTGATGCTGAGTGCTCAGCTCCTGAGAGAAGAAAGAGGGAGAGAAGGTAGAAGTGGATACAAGGATGAACAAACCACTGGGAATCTTTTGTCCTGGGCAGAGACTCCAGGGATGCGATCTGTTGAGAGAGACATCATCACAGCCCCTAAACTCAAGTGTCACCCTGTAAGCACCCAGCTGGCACGGTTCCAGCCACGAAGGTGGCATTTTTGGCACAGCGTGCAATCCTGTTACCTCTGGAGCAGAGACCTGGTTACTGAGCCTGTGCAACATGTGATGCCCTGGCCAGGCAGCATGCAGCAATGCACCCAGGCATCTGGCACACTGTGAAAAAATCCTCTCTCTCTCTGTCTCCTGGTTTAGGACAGCCTCAGCCTCCCCCACTTCTTTACTCAAGCTGCATGACTTAAGTCCACCTGGTCACCTGGGCATCCTACATGACCCCAGGCTGGAGAGATTCCTGAGGCGGCCTGGAGCTAACTCTTCCTTTGTGCTGCAAGAGGCATTTTGGGAAGAGGATGGTCAGACATTTTTCAGAGAACAATGAAACAAGCAATAAGCCTCCAGAGAGTTTTATCAGATGACCATATGAGTATTTTATCTGAATTTTAGCCAGTAATTTAGGATTAAGTGATCTAGACACGCATCAAAAGGCCAACAAGTCCATTCTGTTTTGCTCAAGTTGGCTTTCTTTCAATATCCCATTGCTGTGTATTCCTTCCTCCCTCTCTCTCCCTCTTTCAAAAATAAAGCTATCTGTTATAGCAGTCCTTGCTGGGTGTGCTTAAGAGGGAGAGACTAGCTTTACAGCTCCCTTTGCTTCGTTGGCTAAGGTGGACACAGAGTATTTTTTACTTTCCTCCTGTACAGGAGGCTATTGGTGAATACTCCAGGCTAAAGGAAGCACCTGAAGCTAGCATGGTGGGTTAAGCACCCCCAAGGCCTACAGGGTCTGTGTACCCCGGATGGCACAGAGCCCTAACAAGGACCAGAGCCCGAGTGGTGGCAGCAGTTACCCCAGGCTTGTGAATGGGCTCCAGGAACGGGGTTGGCCAAACATAGGTGCCCCAAGGGAGACATTCGAAGCACGGTTTTTGGTTGGGCACAGTGAGGTGGGTGGCTCCGCACAGGAGCGCGCCGTACTGGCTCACCACACACACAACCCCAGGAAGCCGGGGAGGGTAGAAGGAAGGCAGGCAGCTGGCAGAAGTGGGCTAAGTGGTTAGGGCACTTTGCATGTTCAGCCCAGTGGTTCACGCACTTCCCAGCCCAGCATGCACCCACCTCCAGCCACTGCCCAGGAGGAGCTGGGTCAGGCATGTGCAGGCATCATGGCATCTGCTCCAGCCCACCCGCCTTGGTCCCACACAACAGCAGTGGTGCCTGCCCACAGGGAAGCAAGTCTCCCAATCAGGCCCAGTGACTTTCTTCAGGGCTTTATTCCTGAAACTTTTGCTGATTCTACTACATGAACTCCAAGAAAAGATGCAAAATACAAGTTCACCGAGGACACCATTTTCCCTAAGGTCAGCTTTGAAGCAAAAAGGGGAAGGGACTGGAGTGGCACTCAGGGACAGGGCAGGGCTAATTTGTGGCACAGCTGCCAAAAAGATTGGCCCCCACCGATCTAGCAAATAAATGCACGTTCCAATAAAGTATATTTGTTTTTGCTTTGATCTTAAACCAAGTCATCTAATGCAGGGCCCCTGGCATGTTAGTAACGATTCTAGTTTCTCTTCAAGTGGAGAACAATATGTGATGCTGCACGACACCATGTGTACCTACAAATCCTACATCCACCCATGGCACCAACTTGTCTGCTTTTTGATTATTACGCATCCAAAAGCAATCAAAGCTGGCTTCCAATCCCATGCCCACTATCTTTGCCCCCATAGCCACCTTTGTCACTTAGGCATGGCCTGAAGTGCAGTTACATTCACACGGAAGAAGGAAGGAGAGGAGAGTTTGGGTACTTACAGTGTAGACTGCTTCTCCATTTTCCTACACAAAAAGAAAAAGAGATGAGTCAGGAGGAACAGGAAGACAAACACCACAACTCCCGTCCCCGCGGCACCCAAACCCCTCATGCCATGAGCTGCCACATGAGGCCTGGCCCCTGGAAACACCTTGACCTTCCCCCAGCTCCACAGCTCGGCCCTCAGTGGGAATTCTTGGTTGACTGGCAATACATCCCTGTAGCCTCCCTTCGCTCAGTGTCCATCAGCAAGGGTTTGTAAGGGGCCGTACCTCATTCTGCTGGGAGATGCAAGGTGCTGGTTCCCTGGACCAGGATCCTGAAATGGAGACAGTGGTCTTAGCTCATTTTCCACTGCCATGTCTCCACGTCCACAGGGCTCAGCACACAGATGAGTCCCTGGTGCAAAGGCTCATGATGCCCTGCATGAAGTACACACCCCGGGCTCAGGCTGTCTGTGGAGGGGGCCTGTCTACATCACTCCCCGGGGCAGAGCTCAGAGCCAAACTCCAGGCACAGGACAAGCCTTGGGGCCTGTGACGGCTGCAGCCTGGTCGTCCCGCACAGGTGAGCCCACTGGTGATGCCCAGGGAGTGTCTGGGGGCCACGTGCTGTTTCTTACCCCATCTGGGAGGGCAGTGGATCCAGATGAGACTCAGGGGCACCGTGACCAGCAGCAGGGCACTGCCTGCTGCCACAACAGGAAGTATGACGCAGGGTGCGGAGGGAGCTACAAGGGCAAGACAAAAGCTTCGTTTCAATGCTCTTGCCCAGCTCCGCTCTGCAGCAGCAGGGTCCAGTGGTCAGAGGACCAGCGAGAGCTGGGCTCTGTCTCTGGTGCTGCCACTCGCCACTCGCCTGTAAGTCACTGCCCCTCCCTGTGCCTCAGTTTCCCTACCCGCAAAGCAGCACCAGCACTACTATAAAGCCCTAGGAGACCTCTGGATGGAAGCTGCTAAGTGAGATTGAGGGATTTCCTGTATCCAGTCCCCACCGCCCCATCTAACTCGAGGAGAACGGGGATGCTCACTTCTTACTGAGCTGTTTGCTGTTCCTGGGGACAGGATGTTCCTGCCATTATCTGCCATCTCCACAACTCTCCCTCGACCATTCCCCGCACCACAAACACAGTCCCCTGCAGTATCCTTTGCACTTCTTTCCTCCCTTCAATGACCCCTAACTCCCCTCTTCTCTGGATAGTATCGTTTAATTCCTTGCAGAGGTCTCAGTGATGGCCGCTGCCTTGTCTCATGACCTGGGAACTGCTTCATGCCAGCTTCCCCGACTTCCCTGTACATCTGCCCGCTTGCAAGCATGATACAATCATCCAGCCTCCTTCATGCACGTTAGATGCATGAGTGATTGCAGCGGCTTTTCACACATATTATGTCTAAGTCTCAAACATGGAAACACTCACATGCAGAATACACGGCGTGTCTGGTAACACTGCTGCCAGATGAGTTGAATGTGACCTCGCAGGTGACTGCCACCCCACTAGCCCAGCTGGCCCAGGGGACACTGATGTGATGGATGAGTGTTAAGGACCCAGCACTGACTTCCAGTGAGTGTGGCAGCCCCTGGGCTGGCTCTTCACCAGGAACACGCCAGGACACCTGGACAAGGTTAGAGACGCCCCAGATCACACAGGCCAGATGTGCAGGCTCCGTGGCTCCGTTCTCCCCTGCAACGGGGCCCAGGAGCAGCACGGAGCTGCTGTGGGTGAAGCTGTCTGGGCAGAAAGGAAGGCAAAAGCTCAGGAGGACATACAGCTAAACTGCAGCCTGGCCACAGCTGCAGGTCTGTCACTGAAAGATTAAGCAACATAAAACTATTGGGGAATAAAGAAATGTGCCATCCCCTGCTGCGCTGGAAGACAGGAACCAGCCCAAGGCACGGGTGTCCTAGCCAGGAGAGAGCCGGGCAGCCTTCTCAGGGCAGCACTAGCACCTTCGGGAGTTCACAATCTTCTCACCCACCGTAACGGCTCGGAGGGAGAAACATTCCCAGCCTGGCTGCACAGACCAGCCCCACAGAGACCCAGCACTTCCCTGCACCACTTGCCAGGTTTCCCCTGAGAAAATAGCTGTGTAGCCTGTTCTCTCTCTGCCCCCAGCAGGTAATGCTGAACCCATTTTACTTGCCTAAATACAGCTTCTTTTCATCAATTTACTCCTATACATTCTTACAGTTTCTTGCTGGTTTTCAATGGAACATGACCAATGAGACAATCAGGTATGCTAATAAAAAAGCAATGGTTCGCTACCTCCAACAATCACCGCGGTTCCATTCCCAAAAGTCAAGATGCTGAGGGCTGCAAATGCACAGTAATAAATGCCAGACTGCTTCCTTTGGATGTCCCAGATTTCCAGTGTTGTGCTACGACTCTGATGCTTGCAAGCAAATTTGTTCCCATTTGTACCATCCACACAGTCCTTCATGTGAGTTGGGGCCTCACCCGCCCTTCTCAGATACCAGTGCACATTTGCTCCCCCTTCCAAATCTTTGCTGGAGGAGCAGTGGATCTCTGCTGTCCCACCGACTTCCACAAACAGGAACCGCTGAGGCTGGTACAGATGTAACTGGACTCCCAACACTGTGGAAACACAACAGGGCAATCATCAGCTCCCAGCGGGTCTTGGGCTGACACAGGTGCCCATCATGTCTTGGGACCACAAGACATTTGATGCTAATACCTACGCTGAGGACAGGCAAATACAACCCAACTCCTGCACACCCCACCCATGAACTAGTAAAACATAGATCTCTCCAGAACGACTGGTCTAACATCACACTCAGATCCAGCGCTCCGTGCTCAGGATCCTACAGAGCCGTACCTAGGGACGACAGTATCAGGCACTCGGGGAGCAACATTTCTGCAGAGAGAAGCAACCTTGCCCGGCCGCCCCCAGGGCTCAGGTCCTGTTTGCTGCTGCAGCCACAGGGGCAGGCGTCAGGGTTGTGGTGAGGAGCTCCTCCCGGGGGACGTCCTGCCTGATACAAGCAGCATTATCAAGTCATCTGAGGGGCCTTCTGGTGACACCACCTGCCTCTTGCAGTGTCACTGCTTTATAGGGGGCATAGCTGGTCTGTCGTGGGGAACAGCTACAACCAGGTAGGACCCTTTCAGTGGAGGCAGAGGAAGCATTTCCAGAAGTCCTTGTGTCTCCAGAGCAGATGACCATTTGCATCAGTGATTTGGGCACTTGAGGCCCCAGGGGTTGTCCAACAGAGCCCCAAGTAAGCCGGGCTGTGAATCCAAAGGACAGCTGCTTTTCCCCACTCACACCCGGGGAGGACACTGCTATTCTGCACCAGGACCTCCGTGCAGTTCAACCTCGGCTCCTCCTGTGCTATTACCCAGCTGGGCCGGCTTCTCCCTCCGTGGCACTTGGGCAGTTCCCTTTCCACGGATGCCCTTTCTCTCTGTTTCCTGACCTCAGCATGGAGCTTTGGTTCCTCAGCTCAACTCTGGGAGTGAAGCCAAATGCAACCAACACCAACTTCCCCTTTTTAGACACAAGGATCAGTATCCAGAAGGGTAAAATACAGATGACAGTATACAAGAAACCCACAGACCAACATACATATCTGCACAGAACCAGCAATCACCCTAAACACACCAAAAAAGCTGTGATATACAGCCAAGCCCTCAGATACCACCGCATTTGTACTGAAGAGAACACCCGGGATCGCCACCTCACCAATCTTAAAAAGCCTTTCACCCAGCAAGGACACTCCTCCAGAGAGGTAGATCGCACGTTTGAAAGAGCCACCTGGATACCACGTGAAGAACTGCTGCAGTACAGAAGAAAAACACCCACAAATCGCACACCGCTGGTTATGACCTATCACCCCTCCCTTGAACCTGTACGGAAAATCCTCAAAAAAT